AGATAAAACAGGGTAAATGTAATTCACAAAGCGTACACTGTAGAGTCTGGGCACTTGCTGTAAGGAAGCCTCTGAATTTTTAAACTACCAACACATGACAGAAGGAAGCACATTCGATTACATAATTCAAAATGCTCAGAAGATTATAACACAAACTAGTTGCTCAAGAGAAGCACAGTCATTTGTGGTAATGAATTTCTGCAGGCTCTCGTTCAGAGCACACAGTGTGATGAGGCAGCGGCATTCTGAGCTGCACCTCCACAGTAAAAACAGTCGTGGGTTCCTGGGTGCTGCCTCTCCTACCTGCCCTAGACTTCAGCTATTTGTAGGATCCTAAACTGCAGGTCAGCAAAAGTAATCATGCAGGAGCCAAAACGAGACTATCCAAAGACAGATTTCTCATCATTTTTGTTTAATCAAAACATAAAAATTTAGATCACCTAAACAGAGTGCATAGTCTTCAGGAAATCCTCCATTAACATTACTTCTTGAAACTGAGCATTTCTGATAAATCAGCAAAGCAGACAGTTGTGTTGGCAATTTTAGGGCACATTCATTTCCAGTAGAACTCAGCAGAATTAGGGATAGGGTTAATGGTGTTTCATAAAAGACAAGGAAACAGTGGAACTGAGGAAATATTTGTGGGCTAAGCCAAGATTTCGCACAGAAAACAATTTCGGATCCATTCTAATATAGATAAAAGGGAAAATGCCAAGATTTGCCATTGAACACAACTGTGATGGTTTAGCTTAGAAAAATCTATGAAGCAGCAACTGTTAGCAAACATTTACCTACGCATTCTCAGTTTTTTATTGTAGTAAAATACACATATCAAAAAATTTATCAGCTAACCATTTTTAAGTGTACAGATCAGTGGTATTAAACATATTCATAATGTTGTGTGACCATCACTACCATCTATTCCCATAACTCTTTTCATCTTGTAAAACTGAAACTCTATACCCATTAAACAATAACTTCCCATTCCCCCTCTCCCCGCAACCCTGGCAACCACCATTCTCTGTTTGTCTCTATGATTTTGACCTAATGTGGTCATTTTAATAAGGGAAAAAAACACTCATAAAATACCTAACCTTAAGCAATGAAACCCCCTTGTGATGTCCATAAGATAAAGCATTACGAAATTAATGCCTCTAGATGGCTAAATAATTTGATCTATTGTGTAGCACTAGTAACCGAAAGTCGGTTACATGTTGGAGACTATGAGGATAGCAGCTTTGGTTTTGCTGCAGATGACGTGAGGCCATCAGTCTTTCTGTCAGTAGTTCAATCACAGGCCGCTTGTCTATTTAAGCTCCTCCTCTCTCATGACAAGTAAAACTAAGTCAAAAAAGTATACAACTAGATAATCTTTCCGGTTTTTACAAGAGAAACAATAGGATGCTGCATCTAGTTGATGCAAAAGTAGTATCAAGCTATTAAAGGGCAACTTAAAAATAAGGAAAATGCAGAACATATTTATGTTCTGCATACTCTGACTTTTCAAGAAAGAGATCATTTCTATGAATCCTAACTCTCACGGTGGTTTTGAGTTTCAATTTTGTAAGCACAAATATCCAAAGATTAAAACTGAGTTCATATAACTTAGTCCACAACTGATACCTGTTGCAGAAATTTTCAAGAATAGTTGCAGATATGTAATGGTATATTGTTCCTAACGAATTTCTTCAGCAGTTGATAAAATATATAATCCCGGTCAGTACTGGAAAAGCTTGCCTGACTGAAGTCTCTTTTCTTTGCCTAAAGACTGGTCTGGAAATTCTGGAATGATAATCAGAAAGAAACTGCTTTTTAAGTGGAATAATTTGTAATGTATTATATTTATGATTCTGAGAAAGTGAAAAGTTGCCCTCGTAAAAAATGAGATAGAGAGGGCTACCCCCGTGGCTGAGTAGTTAAAGCTGCACCTGCTCCCCTTTGGCGGCCTGGGTCCATAGGTTTGGATCTTGGGTGGGCACCTACTCCACTCAGCAGCCATGCTGTGGAGGCATCCCACATACAAAATATAGAGGAAGACTGGCACAGATGTTAGCTCAGAGCCAATCTTCCTCAAGCAGAAAAAGAGGAGGATTGCCAACAGATGTTAGCTCAGGGTGAATCTTCCTCTCGAAAAAAAAAGAGGGGCTGGCCTGATGGCGTAGTGGTTAGGTTCGTGTGCTCCACTTCACTGGCCCAGGGTTTGCAGGTTCGGAAGCCCAGGTGCAGACCTACACATCGCTTGTCAAGCCATGCTGTGGCGGCATCCCACATGCAAAATAGAGGAAGATTGACACAGATGTTAGCTCAGGGACAATCTTCCTCAAGCAAAAAGAAGAAGACTGCCAACAGATGTTAGCTCAGGGACAATCTCCCCCCCCCTACAAAAAATAACATAAAAAACAAAAAATGAGATAGAGCAGATTCTAAGGCCATCTGATGGCTCCATCACTATAGAAATAATTAAGGCAACAGATTGGCAAAGCTCAGTGTCCTCCAAACAGACTGACCCTTGAAGAGTTCTGAGAGACACACTATAGAGTCTAAAGGATGGTGACCACTGGTCTTACAGCACAGCTTAGGACCTACTGAAATCATTTAGCATGCTTTGCTTTATATCACTTTGATATTTCTGAACTAGATAATTTTTCCCTAACCACTCAGTCACTGACATTAACTTATTAATTCACTTAACAAACATTTATTAAGTACCCTTTGGACACTATGGGTACTAAAATGAATGAGCCAGGAATCCTGACCTTAACCAGTTCACAGTCTGTGCTTTCTATTGATTGTCCAAGATGTTCTGATCAAGAAAAATATCCCTCTTTGCTTTGTCTTTGTTATACCTAAGAACCTCTACTACACCTAACCAGGAGATGTTTTTTTCCTGGGAACGAACACATCTCACAAGTATAACTAGCAGAGAATTATATTAACAAGTTTACGCAATAAAAAGAACCATATTTACTATTAATTCAGTGGCCATTAAGTGATGCTGGTAAACTTACTCTCTTGGAAGGTCTGTCACCTCACATGGAATGGCCTATGTTTCAGGTTTCCTTATCTGTTACCAGAGCAGTCTAACATGCTTTACTTCCGGCTCTTCACCAGTCCAGCACTTTCGAACTCAATACTTCACACTAGCAGGAATTTCCTATCTGACCTTTCTTCTCTCTCCAACCTACCATATACAATGTCTATGGGATAATACTCTGATTTCATCCTGCCATTTCCTTGTTCAGAAAATTCCAGGGATTGCCCATTTCCCGTGAACTCTTGTGACTAGCCAGAAACTCTCCCAATACTGTGCAAAACAAGAGTCACAAAACAATACATATTACTTTACACTGTGCAATATATTCTAATGTTTTCTATTCTGTTTATTAAAATACTGATCATGACACACTAAATTGATTTCGTCACCACTAAAGGGTTATACTCTACAGTATAAAAGTATTTTATGCTCCTTGGATTAATCCGAGGTGTATAACACTGCTCTTGAAAAATACTTAGCACAAAACACTGCTTCGAGTGTTCATTCTGTTCCTGACAGTGTGAGCTATAATTATGATCTTCACAGTTTTCTTGAGATCACTTCTTACAATATTCCACCACAGCATTTAGGATCACTCCACCTCCCACTTCTACCTTTTGAAATGTGGGACATGGTTAAATAATGCACCATATGTCCTCTAGATTTCTATTTCTTATGTTGTCTTGACAAACTTTAGTGGCATATAAATAAATATTTCCAGGCTTAACTTTAATCAGACCACTTGCAGATGAATAAAAGTAGTTGTGGTCATATTTTTGTTTCTTTACATATCTTAAGAGCCTGAGCTTTGTTGCTTGACCATCCAGAATCAGAATCCCAGCTTTGCCAAGTTGCTTAACCTGACCCAGGCACTTAACCTGAGCCTCCATTTCTGCATCCATTCAATGGGATAGTAATATCTGCTTCCAAGGATTGATGGGGGGTTAAATTAGACCAAGCAAGTAAAGAGCTTAATACAGGGCCTGGGACACACAGGTGCTCCATGAACGGTGGTAAGGTTTTATCACTATAACAAGTAAACGTATCTCAAACATTCTTTTAGGGTCATAAAGCAAGGTTCAGTCACAAGAACAAAAGTAAGATCACTTTTTCTCTTTAAATATCTACCTAATTTTTTTGCAGTTCGACCATTTATAATATAAAATTCTACTGCTGGTTTTATTGATCATAAATATCCCTCAGGAAAGGCTCTATTTATGGTATTGGATAATCATTATATAATGACGAATATCTACTGAAACTAAAAGACTGTATATATATATATGCAATAACTTGCCTCGTCAAGCTAATCTCATTTAGATTTGTCTTCGCTTAATGTATTTTTAAAAACACAAACTCTTGTGTTTTGAATGGTGAAGTATGCTTTAATTCAGCAAAAACATTCCACACAATGCATATACATAAAACTCAAGATATCTCTGGGGCTGCTTTTGAACAAACCGAGACCCGGCGCTTCATGTCAGCCTTTCAAGTAAAAGGCTCGTTCCAGTTGCTTTTATAGTCCTTCTTATCTTTATTTATCCACATCCTTATCTTACCTAAGTCTTGCTACTTGTAAGGTGTTTTTGACTGCAAGAGTCTGGCAGTTAACAGTAAACAACTACCTTTCAATAGAAAGTATTTTTCCTCCTAACCTGTTCAATTTAGCACCATAAAACACAGGGTCTCGTCCGGTCTCCCGGAAGCACTGGTCCACACTGGACCAGGCATAAGAGAGTGGCAACCCTTTTCAAAATTACTTAAAGGGAGTGAACAAAATTGCCGTAGCCCCAGCTCAGTCGTTTGCTAAAAGGCTGCGTTATGCGTTGAGACAAAGGCTTCGGCAATTTAATTGAACCAAAACTGGAGACCTCTGTGGATAAACCTTCAGTCACCACCCTCCAGAATGTGCGTGTGCGTGCTGGGGGACCGGGGGACCAAAAGAGGCAGAGAGCCAGAGACAGACCTGCAACAGGAGGGAGAAACAGAGGAGTCGGCCAGAAGTTACAGACTCCGCAGACAGACACACAAACGCGGCTTACTCCTACCCTTGGAACGGGGGAGGGGGAGGGGGAGGGAAGGGGCAGAGAAGCCAACCCACGATCGAGAACCACGGAGCATTCCACACTGGCCGCCGGCCCCGCCCACACGGCTGATCTCAGCGTCTGCGTGGCCCGTGACGTCACGTCCGGAGGCGGCCCGAGGCGCAGGGGGCGGGGGCGGGTGGGGCTAGGGGACTGGGGGGCCGGGGTGGGCGGGACGGGGCGGGGGCGGGGTTTTGGCGGTGCTTCGGGTGACAACGGTCAATAATGAAGGTGGCTGCGGCGCGGCGGCAGACTCAGCAGTGCCGGGCGGGGGCGGCGTCGAGGCTGCGCCTGTAGGAGCTCGGGGCCGCCGCGGCGCGATGGGGACCCGGCGCGGGGAGTGAGGTGGCGGCGGCGGCGGCGAGCGGAACTTTAGCCAGAGGGGATCTCCCGCTTCCCCCTCTGGCTCGGCGGCTTCCACCTGCGGCCCCTCGGCTCCCGCGTCCCGCGGGTCCGGGACGGCGACGGCCGGGGCATGTGGTGCTGGATCCGGCGGCAGCTGGTAGGTGCCTCGGCCCCTCCGCCTCCAGGACGCCCTCTCCCGCGCGGCCCTGGGCTAGGCCCGGGCTAGGCCGCGGCAGACGCGGGCGCGGGACCCGGAGCCGGCGGAGCCCGCGCAGCCGGCACGCGTCTCGCCTCCGAGCCCGGGCCGCCGAGGCCGGCGCGGGGCGGCCGCTTCGTGCCCGCGCTCCTCTGTTCCTCCCTCCTGTTCGCCGCGGCCGGGGTCCCCCGTGAGGTCGCGGGGCGAGGGACCGGAGAGAGAGTAGGTCTCCGGCAGAGAAAAGCAGCTTGTGCTTTCTGCCTCTAACAATTCGGGCCACGTCTGAGTGAAGGCGGGCGGGGGGGGGGGGGACTCTCCTGCAGCCCCCTGGCGCCACTGTTTTCACTTAGGGTGTCACGATTCGGTATCGTGTGGATTATCGAGGAGGAGGGGACTTTTTTTAGTCTAACCACTTTCAGCGAAGGAAATTTCACCCGAGGCCTCGGTGGGGGAAAGAAAGAATATTCCACCAGCCGGTCTAGTTTCGGAAAAGAGATGTGCGATTGTGAAGGACTGTTTCCCTTCCTGTCGTGTCCTCACCCCACCCCGAGTAAAACTTTTGGAATGCGAACTTTAATTTTTTCCATCCCCCTCAAGGCTGTTTGAACGAGACAGATTTGGAATCGATGGTTAACTTTTCAGTTTTACTGGAACATCTGAAGAAAGAAAAATCTTAGAAAAGGGTGATTGAAGGCAAATTAAAAAGCGCCACCTTTCTCAGAATTAATTCAGAGAGAAAAATCTTTCCTGCTTCCTGGCAACTACAGCCCAGAAAATAAATGCAGCAGTGAGGAAGGTGACAATAACAATTAGGACAGAAATTGCTCCTGGCTGGATAAGCCTGTCCTTATCTCCATGATGAGGTCTGTTAACTGGTTGCTGCTTAATTTCTAAATGGCGTTAATTAAATGTTTCTACAGTTCTGTGTTTTCATTTACTAATTCAAAAGGGCAGTGGAGCAAAAACGATTTTTGTGGGACTGGAAGATTTTTGTGACATTAAAGCATTGACCCCTCTTTTTCCTTGCTCTAGAACAGCATTTTGATGTTGACTAAGAGGTATGCTGTTTCAGAGCCAGCCTTCTGTTAATTCATTTTGCAGTGGGCATCATTCTCAAAAAAATATATAAATAAAACTAGAAAGGCCTGCCACTCCCTCCAACAAGTGTTGGCTCTCTATTTTTAGCTAATTGTCAATTCAGATATCCCAGAAAAATCCCTTATTAAGAAACCAAGCTAATGATGTCATAATACCATATTGTTGTGACACTTTGGCTTTGTTGCAATAAGGCGTAGCACAGTAACTTAACTCTGAAAGTTAATTATTACAGATCTGATCTCATGCTTTAGGTTTGCCAGTCTTCATGTGTGGAAGGCTTATTTACCTGATGGTGTTTCTGTGTGGTAGGAAGATCATTCTGAAGTGGTTCTCTTAAACCCTTTCCTAGTAGATTAAGACACTGCTTCTCAGTGTTAGGTATTTTTGTTAACCTGAATGAAATCCTGGTTGTATAACCACTCTCATCTTCAAGACAGACTGTCTGGTGATGTTTTGTAAAATGGCTTCAAACGATGCAACTAAAAGGAAGGGCAGGAAGTTGTGTGGTTAATTTACGTGACAGCTGCCTTATATGGTGGTTAACAAGTTGAACAGAGTGGCTGGGCATCAAAAATGCTTTCTCGGACATTTAGTTGCTCACCTTACTGGTTTTACTTTTAAGTTATCAGATCTTCTGAGTATATAATTAGACCTGTGCCAGTGTAGGACTTTGTATGTCTGATTAAGGTTGTTTTTATGTGCTGTCAAGTCAGCTGTGCAGTCAAATCAGCTCTGACTCCTGGCGACCCAGTGAATGAGTGATGTCAACTATGTCCTGTCCTGACAGTCCTGCTCAGCTCCTGTAGACTCATGCCTATGCCTTCCTTTATGGAATCAATCCATCTCATATTTGGTTTCCTCTTTTCCTGCTGCCTTCTACGTTTCCTGTCATTATTGTTGCCTCCAAAGAATCCTGCCTTTCCATGATGTGCCCAAAGTAGGACAGCCTCAGCTTTACTCTTTTTGCCTCCAGCGATAGTTCAGGCTTAATTTGCTCTAGGACTCACTTGTTCGTCTTTCTGGCGGTCCAGGGCATCCGTAGAGCTCTCCTCCAACACTGTATTTCAAATGAATCCATTTTTTTTCCTGTCAATCTTCTTCTCTGTCTAACTTTTGCACCTCTGCATGGTAATTGGGAATATGAGGGTGTGGATAATCTTGGCCTAAGTCTCTAATGATACTTTCTTACATTTCATCTTTCCCAATTCTTTCATTGCTGCCCTTCCAAGTCTCAGTCTTTTCTTGATTTGTTGGCTGCGGTCTCCATTTAAATTGGTGACTGAACCAAGGTAGAGAAAATATTTAACAATTTCAATGCCTTCATTAAAGTCGTGTAGTTCTTCTGTAGTCATGATTTTTGTCTTCTTGATGTTGAAATGCAGTCCTGCTTTGGCACTTTCTTCTTATTTTAAAATCAAGCATCTTAAACTTTTTTTTTTTTTTTGCTGGGAAAGATTCACCCTGAGCTAACATCTGTTACCAATCTGCGTCTCTCTCTTTTGTTTTTCCTCCCCATAGCCCCAGTACATAGCTGTATATTCTAGTTGTAAGTCCTAGTTCTTCTGTGTGAGCTGCTGTCACAGCTTGGCTACTGACAGACGAGTAGTATGGTTCCATGCCTGGGAACCGAACCCAGGCCACTGAAGCGGAGCATGGCGAACTTTTAACCACTAGACCGTCAGGGCTGGCCCAGCACCTTCTTCTTTTACTTTCGTCAGAAGTCACTTCAAGTCAATTCAAGTAACTGCTGCTTTCTTCCAGTAAGATGATGTCATCTGCATATCTTAGATTGTTGATATTTCTTCCATGAATTTTCACCACTCCTTCGTCTGAGTCTAGCCCAGTTTTTGTGTGATATGTTCTGCATGCAGATTAAACAGCTGGAGATAAAATGCACCTTTGTCTGACACCTTTGCCTATAGATTAAGTTTGTACAGTCAATTATGTTATACATTAAGCATAGTGGATACAAAGAGTAATAATAGTATCTTTTACTATCTCAGTCATAAACAGCTATTCTACTTACTACATCAGGAATTATGCAACTCAAAGTCTCAGTTAGATTATAGTTCCATTTGCTCAATGAATTGAGTCACCATGTCTTTTAGCAATAGGTTTATTTTTAAAATTCAGATAAATGGGGGTTATTTTGGGACATTGATAAGCAAATCACAAGGACAAGTTTCTTTGGAGCTATAAACACACTTTATTCATTATATGAATCCTGATTTTCAACAACTTGTGTTGTCTTCCCCCAAAAAAGTTTATTGTCATTTTGTTACAGAAACAACTCCTGTGCTCTTAGTCATTTCTTTCAAATTAAAAAAAAAATGTTTGATTCCCTATCTCCACAAAGTATTTTCGCTACTTGACACAATCAGGAAAAAAAAGAGGTGGTCAGAAGATTGATGTTTTGCCTTAGGGAAGTGAATGAAAGGAACAGATTGGAATATCCTTTCCTTTTTCTTTTTCTTTTACTCTTTCTGTTTTGGCTCACAATGCTAAAGTTATTTTATGCTAAGAAAATTTTCTTATGATGTATTTCTGGTACAATTATTATTCATGGTGTGCTCATTTCTAGCAGCATATTATGTGTATTAACCCATTAGAGGGGAAGCACTGTGATTATAATAGTGGAAATGCCATTAGCTATGCACTGTAATTTAATATTTAGATTTGTATGGTAGCCGTTAACCACACTGGCTATTAAAATTAAAATTCTAATTAAATTAAAAATTCATATGACTATTAGCTACCATATTGGACAGTTCAGAGTAGAACATTTTCATTATCACAGAAGGTTTTATTGGACAGCACTACTTTAAAATTTTAAATGAAAGTCTTTGTCATACATGTTTTAGTTGACATGTAATATTTTTTCTTTTTTTTTTTTTAAGATTTGCCCTCAGCTAACATCTGTTGCCAGTCTTCTTTTTGCTTGAGGAAGATTCGCTCGGAGCTAACATCCGTGCCAGTCTTCCTCTATTTTGTATGTGGGTTGCTGCCACAGCATGGCTGATGATTTGTTTAGGTCCACTCCCAGGATCCAAACCTGTGAACCTAGGCCATCAAAGTGGAATGTGCCAAACTTAACCACTACGCCATGTAATATTTCTTTACAGGGCAATGTAATACTGTGTTTTTTTAAAGCACTTACTATATTCAGATGTTATAATATGCTAAATAGTGAGGATACAAATGTAGGTCATTGAGGGCCTTTTTCATCTCTATGCTCAGTGTCTCACATAGTACTTGACATAGAGTAGACATGGGGTACCTTTTCTGAATAATTGAATGGATCAGGAAAGGAAGAGTGAATCCGCACTATTGCTTCTGTGTTTAGAGATAAGGTGACAGAATTCAAGATTGACCAGTCCAGAAGAAAGCTAGAAAATTACTGTAATTTTATAAAAGTACAACTTAGTGTTGTCATATTAAAATGCTGTTTCTTAAATTGTTCCATAAATGTAATCCCTTCAGATTTGTATTGGCAATGGTGGAAGGGCTGATAATATTGTCTTCTGATTCACTGAGAAAAATGGGGAAACTCTTAACCGAAACTCTCAACTTTCTGTTCTCTCAGCACTCACACTCACCAAGCTTGCTTATGTCTGTACTTCTTCCCTTTCCACCTGTCACAAAGGAAGATGTGATCATGCTCTTTTCCAAGCTAATGAGTCCACTTGTGCTCTTAATCCTCTTCTTTCACCTGCTGTCCACACTCCCCATCAATTATCTGTAATACGTTTACTCTCTCATTCTTTTCCTTTAGCCTGTCAACATGTTCAAGCCTCCCTCTGCTATTTTACTTTGTCCTGTACTTGTAACTGTCAAATTTTTTCAGTTTACTAAAAAATAGGTCT